ATATATATATATATATTTTTTTTTTTTTTTTTTTTTTTTTTTTTGCGGTACGCGGGCCTCTCACTGTTGTGGCCTCTCCTGTTGCGGAGCATAGTCTCCGGATGCGCAGGCTCAGCGGCCATGGCTCACGGGCCCAGCCGCTCCACGGCATGTGGGATCCTCCCGGACCGGGGCACAAACCCGTGTCCCCTGCATCGGCAGGCGGACTCTCAACCACTGCACCACCAGGGAAGCCCGGGTCTATAATTTTTTAAAAAACAAACAAATAATAGGGCGAACATTTTCAATGAAAGTCTCTCAAGATATCTCCAGAGGCCCAGTGGCAATGGGCCAGCTTGGCTTAAAGCTCGCTCAGGGGTGTTGGGTGGCCGGGAGGAGAAAGAGTCAGGGAGTCCTTGGCTTGAATCCCACTCCACCATTTCCTGGCTGTGTGCCCTGGGGCAAGTTGCTTTCCCTCTCTGATGCTCAGCTTCCCCTCTAAAGAATTCGGATAATTACCCTCCCCCTTATGGGTCTCTACTGCGTATTCAGAGGGCCAGGGGAGTGAGGGCACCTGTGAGTGAGCACTTAGAGTGGACGCTCACTGGTGACTGGGGCATTCTCCAAGGGCCTTGCTGGGGAAGACGGGACCCTCCCCATCCCACCCACACTGGAGGGTGATCTGGAAATGCCACACAGGTGAGCTCTTGGGTTTGGGTCTCTGTCCCTTGACCTTCCCGTCCTAGCAATGAGCTGAGAATCCCCTGCTCCAGCTACTAGCCTCCCTCCCTGGCCAGCAGCTTCTGTCACTACAGGCCACCCCCGTGGGGATCTAAGGGCCAAGGACTCGGACTCAGTCCCTCCCTGGGCCCAGCCTCAGCTTCTCCCTCCACTCTGCATTCTACCCCAGAAATACCCAGCAGCTCCTAGCTCCCCACACAGCGCAGGTGCATGTGCATGTGCGCGTGCAGCCTCACATCTCTGGGCCTGTGTCCACCCTGGGCCCTTGCTTAGCACATCCTTCACCATCCTCACTGCCATTTTTCTAGTGGAAATCCTTCCAGACTGTGCTGAAGCATCCTGTCCTTCTTGAATACTTCGCATGACCCCCTTCACCCCGTCCCATACAGCCCAGCCCCAGCTTGACCAGCTGTGCCCTCCTCTGCAAACCCGCCCTACGCTTAACTACTCCAGTTCTGTTCCCGGCCCACACTGAATCACAGCGTGTCTGGGTCTGGCTCTACCCCCTCACCACCTTGGGCAAACCAGCTCTACGAACTTGAACTTCTCCATCTGCCAAATGGCCACATACCTGCTCCCTCTCAGAGCTGTTGCGAAGATTCCAAACAAGGCCAAGGTCCCTGATGCGTGGTAGGTGTCTAATAAATGGTGGCTGAAAATGCCAGCTCTGGGCCAGGGCTGCACCCTGGTTGGTGAGCTTGTGTGAGAGGGTGGTGCGGGGCTGGTGGGGACAGCCACCTCCTCCCACCTGCCCCTACCCAAGCCAGCCGTGGGGTCAGCAGAGTCCCCTTCCTCCCTGCTCCACCCCTGGGCCTCTGCTGTCCAGCATAGCCAGCCCAAGGATTCCAACTCCCAGGGACGCCTCCCACTATGACCTCTGAAGCTGACCCCTAATGTAGCTCTCTGGGTGACTCAAGCAGGGCAGCCCTCACTCAACCTTTACATCAGAGGTGAGTGGATGCCCCAGGTGTGACCATTCACAGCCCAGATCCCCTGGCCCATTCACTGTGCAGGGATGGCCAGGTGTCCCAAGCATGGTCAGTGACAACTCTTGGTGACACTTCTCCTGAAACGCTTGGGGGAAACATGCATTCTTTCTCTGCTCGTCAAGTGCAGCCTGGAGCTGCTGGCGGCTACCTTCCCATCAACCAAGGTAAGGCTTCCTGAGAATGAAGCATCGCAGAGGAAACCAGAGTGAACCAAAGGGACAGTCCTGCTGTGCACCCAGGTGAATTATATGCCTCAATTTCTTCATCTGTCAATAGGGGACATCGTTTCAGCACCTGGTTCCAGCCATACCTGAAACCCCAGGGCTTGCCAGTTATAGGAATTAGTAAGTCCCTCTACCCTTTGACCAGGTCTTCTGTCGCAAGCAACAAACTGCAAGAGACTCAACTCATGCAAGAGAGAAGCTGGAGCATAAACCCAACTCTTTCACTGCCTGGTAGAAGGGATGCTTCTCAGATGCTTGAGTCCTTCCCGCAACTCGGGAATGAAGGCTCACCTTGATAAAGATGTGGCCACTGTAATAGCTTCCCATGAAATCAACCACTTGGTGAAGAGGCGGTGAGGAATTTCTGGCAAGTGAAACGATGTAGAGGCCCCGTGAGTTAATGAGGCCTGGGTGTTCTCGCTGACACCCCTGGGAGAACAGAGCAGAGAAGAGATGCCAGAAAGAGCCGTTCTGTTTCCAGGCTCTCGTGAAGGCAGCTTGGGAATTTCCTGGCCCAACAGCACCATACAAGGAAGGGGCTGTGTGCCCTCTGTGGTCTGGATGCCGACTGTGGGAGGGATTGGACAGGTGGAGGGAGCAGAAAAGTGCTCCAGGTGGAGGACACAGTAGGTACAAAGAGACCCCTCCTCGATAAGCACAGCAACCACTGCCACCATCGCCGCCACCACCACTGCTAAGTGGGCACTCTCCCAGCCAGGCTAAGTATTTCACAGGCACCATCTCACTTAGTTTTCACATCTGCTCTAGGAAGCAAATGCTACTGTCAGTCCTATTTACAAATGGGGAAACTGGGGCTCAGGTAGGTTAAGTGACTCTCTCAAGGTCACACAGCCAGGAGCCAAGAGTCAAATCAAGATACTCTTGGTGGGGACACTGGCTTGCTTCTCCAACTGGTCCTCTCTGGGCCTCCCTTCCCTCGTCTCTGGGAGGGTGAGGGGTCCAGAAGGTCACGGAGAAAAAGACCAGGGGCAGCAGGAAGACTACAAACCTCGTGCTAAGATGCCACCCAGGCCAACACCCTCACACCCAGGCACTTTCCAGAGCCCCGAGCCGCCACATCCAAGCAGCTTCTCTCCCTGGTTTTGACTATACAGTTCCCTGTCCCCACCCTGTCCTTGGTCAAGCTCCAGACAGGCTTGTCCCTGGCACAGAACTGGGCACGCAGGAGGGAGATGGCCAGAGGGATCTCCCTTGGAATGGAGCAATTGGAAGGCCATGGTTTACAGCCAGCAGCAGGATGCAGCCTTCACAGAGGTTCCCATGACAATGTGGAACCGTCTGGTGGTTGTCTGTAGACAACCTACTGGGAGAGTCCAGCAGGGGCTGGATGACCATTTCGAGGGGAGGAAGACACCTGTTTGAAGTCATGGTCCTTACAGATGATAATAAAAGAGCTACCACTTCTTTTTTAAAAAAATCGAGAGATAACAGACATGCAACAATGTATTAGTTTCAGGTGTACAACCTAATGATTCGAGATGTGTGTATATTGGGAAATGATCGCTACAATAAGTCAACCTCCATCACCACATATAGTTACAATTTTTTTTCTTGTGATGAAAGTGTTTAAGGTCTACTCTCCTAGCATCTTTCAAATGTACAACACAGTATTATTAACTATAGTTAAGCACAGAGCTAACACTTCCATAGCACTCACTGAGCCTGGCACTGTTCTCAGTGCCTTCATGCATAGAAGAAATCCCCTTCACAGTCCTCTGAGGAGGTGCTGTGCTTATCCCCACTTCACAGAGGGGTACACTGAGCCCACACAGAGGGGGAGACGCAGGGCAGCAGGTCAGGAGCAAGGCGTGAGTGAGGGCTGGGCTGGGAGGGAGTCCCTACGTCCCACTGCCCACCCCATTCAGAAAGTGAAGGGGGGACTCCTCTCATCAATCAGTCCGGGAGCCTGGGAGGAAAGTGCCCACAGAAGAGGAACCAAACAGTCACAGGAAAGAAAACACAGGAAGCTCTTAAAGAGACAGCTAAACTAAAACCACACGGAGAACCACTCTTCACTCCTCAAACTGGTGAGGACCAAACAATCTGATAAAATCCTGCATTGGTAAGAGGTGGGGGGAATAGTAATCAGGCAGGCTTCGTAGTGGGATGGCCGGGGAAAGACACCAGGATATTACAAATGCTCGAACCCTTTGACTAGCAACCCCACTTCCGGAAATTTATCCCGCAGGCCTGTGGAGCCACAGCGTAAGAATTATGTCTGCTCACAATTACTTACCGCGGCACTGATGCATAGCACAAGTTTGGATGGCTAGGTCCCCACAGGGAATGGTTAAATAAATTATGCTTGATTTGTACATTGGCACACTCGCAGCCACAGAGACATACTGAGGAAGCTCTTTACATGTTGATATGGAACTATCTACGAGACACAGTAAGGTAAAGGCAAGGTGTCTAGGCATGACAGCAAAGGCACTGTCCATAAAAAGATAAAAGGGATAAACTGGACCTCAGCAAAATGAAACATGTGTGCTCTGCAGGAGACTTTGTTAAGAGGATGGAAAGACAAGCCTCAAACCAGGATAAAGTACTTTCAAAGCCCGTATCCCAAGGAGAACCCGTATCTGGAGTAGACAGAGAACATTCTAAACCCAGGAGTAAGAAACCAAACAGCTCAACTGGAAAATAGGCAAAAATTTTGAACAGAGTTCACCAAAGAGGATAGATGGACAGCAAACAAGCACAAGGAAAGATGTTCCACATCGCTCTCCACTGGGGAAATGCAAAATAGGGCTCTGATGAGATAGCACTACAAACCTACTGAAACGGCTAAAATGAAAAAATACTAACAGTATCAAGGAAGGGCTGACAAGGACGCAGAGCAACTAGAACTCTCAAACATGCTGGTGGGAATGTAAGAAGGTACAGCAGCCTGCAAAGTACATTGGCAGTTTCTTAGCCAGTTAAGCATACACTTACCATACAACTCAGCGATTGCACTTCTGGGTATTTCTCCTAGAAAAACGAAGGCTTAGGCTCATGCAAAAACCAGTATATGAACATTCGGATCAGCTTGATTTGTACTCACCAGAAACTGGAAGCAACCCAAATGTCCTTCAACAGGTGAATGAATAAACAAACTGTGGTGCATCCATTAAATGGAATACTACAAAGCAATAAAAAGGAATGAATTAGTGATAAGCAACAAATTAAACTGATCTCAAAGGCATTATGCTGAGCAAAAAATGCCAACCTCAGAAGGTTACACACTGTATGATTCCATTTTTATAACACTGTCAAAGTGACATAAATATAGTGATAACAGATCAGCAGTTGCTAGGGAACAGGGTTGGTAAAGGGTGTGATTATAGAGCATTAACATGAGGGAATTTCTTTGTGGTGATTGGAACAGTTCTAGATCCTCATGGTTACAACATTTATCCATGCGATAAAATTTTACAGAACTATGTACCAGAAAACAAAACAATTACTGCATGTAAAAACTGGTGAAATCCAAATAAGGTCTGATTTTGAGTTAATAATACTGCACCACTGTCAATTTCCTGGTTTTGACAATGCACTATGATTATGTAAGATGTTATCAGTGGGAGGAGCTGGGGGAAGTGGGGGAAAGGTGCACGGGAGCTCTCTGGACTATTTTTGCAACTTCTCGTGAGTCTTAAAGTATTTCAAAATAAAAAAAAATTTAAAGTAGTGTTGATTGGAGGCTACTTTGCTCAATTTGATTTTTTTTTGCTATAGAAAAATAATAACAAGGTAAAGAATGTGTGTGGAGAGAGTCCTATCTGTGTGATGTAAATGCAGGGTTCCTATTGGTGACAGAATACTGTATTTCGGGAAACAGGTACAAGGGATTGGGAATACAGGAGCCATATGGGAGGGGACCGGACGGCAGAGGCACAGGTGTACGAGAAAGAGACCTGATTTTTCAATTTTTCCCTTGAAATGTTCGAATTTTGTACTGTAGGTGTCTATCATCTTTTAAAGCTTTTTTACTTAAATTTTTGAAACCTAAGAGTGGGACAGGAGCGATCTGTTTGCCTCTGAGAGCCTCAAAGGACAGTCCAGAAGGGAGGGGGCAGTGTCCTGCAGACCAAGACTTTATCAGGAAGGTAGTATTTTACTAAGCTCAAGGGAGGCTAGAAACACAAAAGAATAATAGACGGGGCAGGGAGGGCACCCAGCTCCAGTTGGCAGGGCTGGGAGGTGATGCCGCCTTCGTGTCCATGACAACCACGAATGGAGGTACCAAACACAGCCACCGTGACAGTGGACGCTCACCCAGCCCTCAGGGGAGCACTTCTCAGGGACAAACTCCCGTCCCCTCGCAGCAACATCATCGCATGGTGGGGTAGGGGGGGACGCAGAGGCCCGGGGGGGAGTTTCTGTTCAGGGTCCCCCATGGAGTTTGCAGCTCTGTAGCACCCAGGACCTCCCTGCCCAAACCAGACTGATTTCCACTTGGCTCTCCTGACCAGAATCCACAGGGCAGATGCTGGGCCAGACCCTGTGCTGGGCCCTGGGGCGAGGAGGGGGAGGTTCCAGCTTGGAGGCCTCCTGGGCTGATGGAGAGGAGACAGAGGTGCGGTGGAGTCGGCCAGGCAGCGTCCTGGCTCTGCACTTATTCTTGAGCCTGCTGGGGAAGGGCAGGTAGAGGACAAACAGCATGCCATGTGAAGGGGATCGTGAAAGAGTCTATGAGCAGGCCTGGCTGAGCCGGCAGGCCAGGTGGTCCCGGGTGGAACCCCAGCTCTGGCCGCAGCAGGGGGCTCTAGTCCCTCCTCACATCCTCCCCCACCTCCTCTCACAAGAGGAGCGTGACCTCGCCCCCCTCCCAGGCCACTTCAGCCACCGCAGGCACAGGCAGCCGACGCCTGGCCGACGCAGCTCCAGGAAGTCGTCCTCGTCAAAACCTGGGAGGGTCCAAATGTCCATCACCAGGTGAAGGGGAACCTGTGGCAGGCCATCCACGGAATATCACACAGCCACGAAGGAGACCAAGCTGCAGTTACGTGCGGTGATGACTCTCGAAGACTGAAGAGCAAAGGAAGCCGGGAAAAGAAAAGAACACACGCCGCACCATTCCACGTACAGGGTCTAAAAGGTGGCAAAACTAATCTATGTGGTTAGAAGTCAGGACCGTCGTGACCTCTGGGGAAGAGGGGAGAGGAAGGGACTGGGGGGGCAGGGGTGAAGGGGAGAGAATTTCAGTCACACAGGTGTGCTCATTTTGTGATGATTCATGCTTTTGCGTTCCATGCATGTTTCTGTGTGTATGTTAAACCAAAGGTTATAAAAAAAGAGGTTTACTTTAAAAACTAAAGGAAGGCAACATAGATAATGGGAGAAAGTATTTGCAAATCATCTATATGATAAGGGGTTAATATCCAGTATATATAAAGAACTCCTACAACTCAACAACAACAAAAAACAAACAACCAGATTTTAAAAATGGTCAAAGGAGTTGAATAGACAACTCTCCAGAGAAGATATTCAAATGGCCAAGAACTATTTGAAAAGATGCTCAACATTACTATTCATTAGGGAAATGCAAATCAACCTACAATGGCACACCACGTCATACCCCCCCCCATTAGTATGGCTACTAGAAAAACAGAACAACCAAAGAACAAAAAACCAGAAAGAAACCATTGCTGGAAGGATGTGGAGCAATTGGAACATTTGTGCAGTGCTGGTAGGAACGGATAATGGTGTAGCTGCCGTGGAAAACAGGATGGCAGTTCCTTAAAAAACTAAAAATAGAATTATCATATGATCCAGCAATTCTACTTCTGGATATACATCCAAAAGAACTGAAAGCAGAGTCTTGAGGAGATATTCGTACACCCTTGTTCTTAGCAACATTACTCATAGCCAAAAAGCAACCCAAGGGTCCGTTGACGGATGCATGGATAAACAAAATGTGGTCTATCCGTACAATGGAATATTATTCAGCCTTCAAAGGGGAGGAGTTCTGACACATGCTTACAACATGAATGAACCCCAAGGACATGGTGCGCAGTGAAATAAACCAGTCACAAAAGAATAAATATTGCATGGTCCCGCTAACATGAAGCCCATAGAACAGTCACATCCACAGAGACAGCGAGTAGATGGTGGTTCCCAGGGGGCTGCGGGAGGGGAATGGGGAGTTGGTGGTTAACGGGGACAGAGTTTTGGTTTGGGAAGATGAAAGGTTCTGGAGACGGACGGTGGTGATGGTTGCACAACAGTGTGAATGTTCTTAATGCCACTAAACTGCACCTCAGAAATGGTTAAAATGGTAAATTTTATGTTATATGTATTTTCCCACAGTTAAAAACAAACAAACAAGCAAACAAAAGGAATGCGGACTGGCCTCTAACTGGACCTGAGACTGGACCCTGCCGAGCCTGGGTCTCCTCACCTGGCAAGGGCATGTAAGCAGCGGCCGTGTCTGGGGGGTGGCGAGGGTCACAGAGCACACAGGCCAGCTCATCGGTGTGTGACTTAGTGAGGGGCCACAGATTTCTCAGGCACAGCCCCTGGCAGGAGGATCTGCATTCTTTCTATTCTGGACCCTTCTGTCATAAGGCAAGAGCTGGGAGGTGGAAGCAGGGCCCTGCTGGGAGCAGGGGTATCATAAAGCAGATTTCTCGTAGCAGGTGTACCGTCCCCTGCAGGCTCCCTCAATGCTGTGCTGAGCGGGTGGGGATGGCCATAGGATGGTGGGCTGGACCCCTCCTTCTATTCTAGTCTCCCTGCCCTCTAGCTCCTCCGCCCCCTCCCCGCCCCCTCTTAGCAGCTGGATTGAGGTCCAGACGCGCCTGTGAGCCTTGAGTCTCCATCAGAAACTGTCCAGCCTCGGCCTCTTCATCTACATAATGAGGGTGATCAGAGCCCAGCCTCTTGGGCCACACAGCTGTGAGGACAGGGCTGTGTCATGTGCTTTAGGGTGTGGACTCCAGGCCAGAATTCCTGGGATTAAATTCTGGCTCCGCAGTTCCCTGGCTGTGTGGCCTGGGGAAGTTACCTAACCTCTCTGTGCCTCAGTCTGCTTATCTGAAAAATGGGGGTAACTCCAGGACAGACCTGGTAGGATTGTTGAGGATGCATTAATTAATATGCACAAGATTCTCATAGGAGTGCTGGCCCCTGGTAAGTACCCAGCAGATGTGTGCTGTTACTGTTATGTTTCAGGGAGGGAAGCTGGTGAGGTGATTTGTGTGAGGCTCGCGGCCCTGGCCAGAGCTGACGCGCAGGTGTTTGCCGCATCCTGACCCAGCGTGCAAGCTCTTTCACCCACTGCCCCTATCTCGGGGACTGCGAGCAGTCCTGGTGCCAAGGGGTCTGGCGCACGTAGGACCTCAGGGCTTCCACTGGCTGTCCCCAGCTTCCCCAGGCCTGGCTCCCAGACCTCCCAGCCAGCCCAAGTCCATCTGGCCTGAGCCCTGCCCAGCCAAACCTGCCTGCAGAAGGACTCAGGCATCAGTGGGGATCCACAGCCTGGGGGCTGAGTCGGAGGAATTGTGGTCAGGGGAGACTGGATGGCTGGGTGGGCAGAGGCCAATGCAAAGGCAGCCCTCTTCTCCCCACTCCCCAAAGCCCCAGCTCCACTATGTCTCCACTACATTTCCTGCGGCAAGCTACAGGGCCTCTCTGACCTTCAGGTTCCTCATCTGTCAGAGGTCTTTTGTGGGGAAAGCTGGTCTCTGCTCCCTTTGGTGTCAGCTGGGTCCACTTAACTGGGGGCCTGGAAGATCCATTTTCAAGATGAAGTGCCTACAGCTGTTGGGGGAGCTCAGCGAGGGATGCGGGTGGGATCTTGGTTCTTCTCCGCGGTGCCTCTTCACAGGCTGCTTGGGCTTCCTTAGGGAAGAGTGGCTGGGTTCCGAGAGCCAGTGTCCCAGAAGCTGGCACAGCGTCACTTCTGCCATATTCCATTGGTCAAGCAATAAAGCCCAAATTCAAGGGGGAGGAGGGTCTACGTTACACTATGTGTCTTGATGAAAGGGGTGTCAAAGAATTTGGGAGTCATGTCTTAGGACTGACAAACTTAACCTCTGCAACAAGTCTTCAATAATGTGGGGTTCCAGATGCTGTAACAGGCAGCGGATAAATAAGTGGCCAAGGCAGCCATTGTGGTTGCTAAAAACTACCTTGTCATCTATGATGACACCAACCCAAATCAACAAGGGCCTGAGGCAGAGGCCCCAAAGTATTTGTTCAGGGGCTAAACCTGTT